GCTGCAGGAAACGGGATCGTCATCGTCGTCGTCAGAGCGTAGGCAACCGGGTCAAATCGAGCATGCAGGCAGACAGAGGGAGGGTGTGCGGATGAGGTGCAAATCAAAACGAAACACATGCAGTAACTAAGGTGAAACAAGGGAGAGAGGGAGGGGTTGCACATGAAAAGAAGACAACAGGAGGGGAAGGGAAGCAAAACTAAGCGCGTTTTAAAAACGAAGCAACAGGGAGCGGGCGAGAAACAGAGGCAGCTTAAGGATGATCGGAAAGCCCCGTGAAAGAAAACAAAGTGTGGTTATCGCAAAGGGTGGCTTGACGAGGAAACGTGGCCCAAGATCTCCTTCTGGGGATCTTGAAAACCCTCAGAGGATGGCAACTGTGGCGAATTGGAAGGCGGATGTCGTTGAAACAAGGTGGTGGCAAGCTGCATATGTGTCATAATATGCGCCAATAGACAACAAGAATCGGAATACACGTGGGGTTGGATCACGCCGACTCATTCTGGGTGCGTAAAGTGATTCTAGTGTATTTCAGGAAAATAATATAGTGCGCTGACTCACTTTTGAGGACAGTACATAACAACGCTCAAAGTTCGGAACATCGGACTGGGTAGTAACTACTATGAAGGAAATTTGTGATAAAATGCGTGCCGGATGATAACGGACGGCTGAGATAAGGCGAAGGACGAGCTTCGAGAGCAACGTAACTTCGTTTTATTACATACTTGCGGGCTCCAGTTAGGTCTCCCGTGAAACTGTTCATATGAAGAAGGGTGAAGCTTTGATCGATGAGGCATGAAGTCATGAGGGCCAGACGGAACTGCACACAGGGCAGCTCATTTATCGGCAAGCATGGATCACCCACGGACGAAGTGAGAGAGGTGTAATGCGGAAACGCGGCATCTCAACCTTACCAGATTCAACAGATAAACCGGGAGGTATACACTTAAACAGCCCTTTAATACATTGATTCCAGGAAACCTTGACAGTTTGTGTGACAACCTGATGGTTGCTGATGTTTGCAGTTGAGCGGCAAGCACATAAGGCGATTTTTCCCAAATTCCTGATAAGCACCTTAAGCAGAATCGGCGCGTAAAGGTGACGTTGGCTATGGTGGCCAATTGTACAGTTTTCCTCCTATAAACTGGAAGGCAGGCCTCCTCCTTTTGCGCGGTGCAGCGGACTTTACATACATGAACAGTCATGTCGCCAAGAGTCGCAATGAGGGTTAGGTTAAATAGCACTCATTACAGCTAAGTTCTTGGATCCCAAGCCCAAGTAAGGCCACGAAGATTGATGTATACCGTGTATCCACCCGGTCAGCTTTCCCCGATGGATGTGAATGCTGGGCTTTGCGCGCTGAAGATGAACGAAGACTGGAGGTCTTTGACTATCGATGCCTGAGAACCAGCCTGCGAGTTAAGTATACCGACTTCATCAGGAATAACACAGTTCGCACCCGCTGTGATCGTATTGCAAGGATATTTCAGGTCATTCAAGAAAGGCGACTGACGTGGTTAGGGCACGTTCTCTGTCGTCCACCCCACGAACTTAGCTATGCTTCCCTCGATCAGGTGCCGCAGCCCACCTGGAGGCGTCAAAGAGGAGGGCAACTGAAGACTTGGCTTGACACCGTCCATCAAGACATGGAAGCAGTTCTTGAACCTTTTATCTTCGGTCGCCGTCGCTGGAGAAGGGAGTGGGTGGAGCTCTTCAGATCCACATGGAGAGGTACCGTCCATGACATCATTGAGGCCGGCTAGATCAGGCATGACAGCCGTAACAAGTACAAGTAAAGCCGCCGCATCGAGCAGCATGTGAAGCCCTGACTGTAATGGCACACTAACAAATTATTATTTTCATTTCGATAGCGACTTGATCGTCACTGACTACGTCCTCCTTTTGGGAAGTGAGGTCGTAGTGGATGGCTAGCAAGTCTGGGTAAAGTCGGAAAACTACTTTGTACGAATTACTCAAATGTTTATTAACACTGTGCATCACTTGAGAATTTTTCCTGTCTCACGGCAGTTTAGCATATTTACTTGATCAGTTGTGGCGCCCACTACATCTAACAGCTGTTGAATCCATTGGGAACCCATATAAGACAACAACGAAGTGTGTAAATTAACACCGACCAGTGAGGTACTCCAAGTTCATTGGTGGAAGGGAGGCGCGAGATAAATGAGCCAGTAAGTGGAGGGGAGGGCGAAATGGAGGTGCAAACAGGAAGATGAATACCCGCTACGGAACGAAAACAGCGGCAACAGCAGTAAGCAAGCAGGCAAAGAGCAACTACTGATGAGGTTGATTAAAGTGTGTGTGTGTGTGCGTGTGTGTGTGTGTGTGTGTTTGTTTGTGTGTGCCTGTGTAGCTAAGAGCGATAGCGAAATAGAATGAAGGGGGTGATTGTGGTGGTAATGCTGGTGGTATGGTGGTGATGGAGGGTGATAATGCTGATGCCTTGACCACCACGGGTGCTCTCCACCACCGAGAGGCTAGGCCATGGGAGCTTGAGCGAACTTCATGCTGAGCACTAGAGGCCCCTGCGACTCGACTTGCGCGGACAGAGGATCACGGGGCGTGGGCAGGCAGGCGG